TCAAAAATCCAAATCGAACGATAGATGTTTAATTTAATATGACCATCTAGAAACACACACTCGTACCAGCCACTGTTCGAGCCGGGACAGACTCCTTGTTGATCCAGAATGCGAACAATTTCTTTCTGTGAATCATATTCTTTTTTTTTATGGCTACAAGCGATATGAATTCATCATTTGAGTTCTTTTTTAAACATAGTGTGGGGGAGACTTGACATACTGAAATTAGTTTGAACAGAAGTTATTTTTTAAACATAGTGTGGGGGAGACTTGACATACTGAAATTAGTTTGAACAGACGTGTGAGACAGAAATAAAACGACAGCTTATTATCGACTTAGAAACTACTTTAGCCACAAGACACAAAGCACTATAGCTAAATCGAATTTGTACAATAATAAACATTAAAATATAGATGTAGCATTTGGGTGCTGTATTTTCTTACCATCTTAACATCAGACACTGGTCCAAAACTTGTGACGAATATGTCTGTTTTGACCTCAGTTACAGAGACTGCAAAGTTAATCACAGATTACATATGCATGCAGAACCGTGAGTACATTATACTGTTACAGCAAAATGAGGTGAAATGCATGGGTCAAAGACAAATCAAAACCATAAAATTTAATACAGCTTTTAAAATGTTTTCATGCATTACAATGCGTTCTGTTTAACTTAATTTTTTCTGAGCAAATAAATAATGCAGTTTATCTATGATTTGCAGAAAATGTCATTTAGTGTAACAATCTTTGCCACTATATCCTTCAAACCACTATTTTACCCATTTGTCAGCAATGCGTATTTAATCATTTTTAATAAGTACAGGTCGGAATAAGTATGTTGTTTCATTTTTACATAAATATATGCTACGCTGAATAACAACGGAGCAGTATTTCTCACATATTTTGACATTTCATTTTCACTAAAGTTAGAAACATTACTTTTCTGGCATTTAATATGCTTTCCATGTATAATAAAATCACTTTTGTCATTTTAATTTGATGCAAACACCAAAATGCGTGTCTCAAATGTCAAAACGTTCTATAATGTAGCTACTAAATCATTTATTTCTATACTGTGAGGCCTGCGCTTACCTCCAGATCCCGGGCGCAGGCGATTGTCATAACCCTCAAGAAGTCGGTCTAGAATCCGTGTTATGTTTTCTGAATTTATCTTTTGCTTTCCTAATACATCTGCAACACTACACGGAGAGAAAGTACCACCTTGATTAGTCCTTTCAGTGAATTTAGACCCAAGTCAGGACAAACTAGGCATTCAAGTTAACTCATTTAAAGTCAGTATACCTTGCTTAGTCCATTAACTCACCTTGTGAGACACAACAAGGCCAAAAGAAGAGCCATTTCTGTGACAAAAAGGTAAATAAATGTAATTAAAATAAAGCCGTCAGTGGTTAGAGGTCATAGTGTAATGTATAATGTGCTCTAGATGTACGAACGCTTTACAGATGCACTGAAGCACTGTCTTATGTCTGTCAGTAAATGAAGAGCTGAATGTGAAGTGAAATGCTTTCAGGATAATCAACTTAAGGGATTAGTCAAATCCAGGTTAAAGAGTATCATCTAGCAAACTAGTCTTTCTTGCAAAATAAACATTGCCCCTGTAGTAGTTGCCTTGTCTGACTTTCATAATTAGGGTTAAAATAAACTTATTGCCAGGGCAATATAACACAAGATATAGTGTTATAAATATGTGTAACATATTTTGACTCAAATATTACATATATATGGAGCTAATATGTTAGTTAAGTATCGCATTACACTGATAAATACATTTATATTGTACTATTTATTCATATATAGACTATTATTTATATCTAGAAGCTTGCATTCTTGCATTCATCCCAAAGAGGCAGAAAATCACTTTCACAGACCTTTACATTAAATGTTCCCTGCTGGTGGAATGACCAGGCAAACTTATTGCCAGGGCAATATAACACAAGATATAGTGTTATAAATATGTGTAACATATTTTGACTCAAATATTACACATATATGGAGCTAATATGTTAGTTAAGTATCGCATTACACTGATAAATACATTTATATTGTACTATTTATTCATATATAGACTATTATTTATATCTAGAAGCTTGCATTCTTGCATTCATCCCAAAGAGGCAGAAAATCACTTTCACAGACCTTTACATTAAATGTTCCCTGCTGGTGGAATGACCAGGGACCATCTTCAAGAATCGGCTAAACACACATCTCTTCCATCTTTATTTGACCCTCTAACTCTAGCACTCTCTATTTTAATTCTATTCTTTAAAAAAATAAACACTTGCCCCTTTTTAGACTTGCACTCTATTCATTTACTAACTGCTTGTTTTCCTCAAAAATATATTTAAAAAACTAACACTAGCTTCTCCAAACTTTTTGTATTCTATCTATTTGTTTTCTTTTTATTTATTGTACAATTAACAAACGCAAAAAAAGGCCTCTAACACTAGCTTGCTCTATTCTATCTGTTTTCTTTTTATTGATTATATAATAATATTAAAACCCTCGCTTTGTGTACTGCCTTAGGCTGAGACTTATCACAGCACTTGTATATCATTGCTCTCTTGTTGGTTTTGATTGCTTCTATTGTCTTCATTTGTAAGTCGCTTTGGATAAAACATCTGCTAAATGACTGAATGTAATGTAAATGTAATATTTTGCAGCGTTAGTCTTGTTGCTAGCCTGTTTGTTTATGATGTAACCGATTATTTCTCTTAGTAGAAATTAAAAGAGTGAAATAATCTCAACTCAGCAGATGTATTTCACTCAAAATGAACAATATTATACGCTGGCTGTACGTTATTCCTTATATATCTGACAAAATTGTACAAATTAGCTCTTGTTTATGGCACACTTCCTGGCGGCATTCTATGATATTACCAGAACGTGTGAGAGATCTTCAAGGTATGGATCTTTACTGAGGGTTTATATACGAGATCCAGACAGGATTGTGTGTTTTGGAGAGATTAGATCCAGTATAACTTTGTGTGGAGAAATGCTCGTGTTGTTGTTGTGTGCTACATATAATTACAATATTACTTGTTTTTGGCGTAAAACTGTATTAAGAGGAACCTTGACCATATATAATACACTAAGTGCATATAACTGACGTTTAAAATGACATTGCAGTCTCCTAACATGAATGAAAATATATGCTTTTCATACAATGTTTTTATTTCAAATGGTGTGTTCTCTAAAAAATATTAATAAAACTGATTTTTTTATTTATTTATTCTGAGCTTCTACTAACCATAGGCTAAATTAACCAGATTTTGCACATGGTTATTAAAGATTTTTTGGCAGAATTATCTGATAATATAACATTAGTTTTTTATTCTTTTATTACACATTTTATGTGAACCTTGGCAAAAAAAACTCATTCATACAGTTGGCTACTTGTCAAAACTTTGAAAACATTAACATTTTTTAAAAGTCTCTTATGCTCACCACGGCTTATTATTATACATTTTGTTCAATGTTGATAATAATAATTAATGTTTCTTGAGCAGCAGCATATTATACTGATTTCTGAAGATCATGTGACACTGAAGACTGGAGGAATGATGCTGGAAATACAGCTGCGCATCACAGCAATAAATTACATTTTACTGTATATTAACATAAAAAATAGTTATTTTAAGTGGTAATAATATTTGACAATCTTGTAAGGTTTTTCTCCAGTGTGAATCCTCTGGTGCTGTTTTAAACAGTATGCTGAAGTAAAAGTCTTTTCACTCAAAGCACATGTACTCTCTCACAGCAGTATATATTTTCTGATGCATTTTCAAACTTTGTAAACATGAAAATATCTTTCCACACAAATGACATGAATGTGGCTTCTCTCGTGTAAGAACTGAAGCCCTCAAAACGGTCTCGTCACATTGATCACATGCGTACAGCTTCGCTCTAGTGTGGATGTTCATGTGTCGTTTAAGACTGAACTTAAAATACAGTAAAAATCATAAGGTTTCCAAACTTTTGACAAGTGTACTATAAGTGTATTTTTTTATATTATAAATATTTTATGTGATATATGAGATTTGGGGGTCAAAATGTATTATAAAATATTAATATTGTAATAATGAGTTAAATAGGAATAGAAATAGCAGTCTTCAGTGTCACATGATCTTCAGAAATCATTCTAATATGCTGATTTGCTGCTCAAGAAACATTTCTGATTATTATCAATGTTGGAAGCAGTTATTTTTGTGGAAACTGACACATTTTTCATGATTCTTTAAGATCAGAAAGATCAAAGGAACAGCGTTTATTTGCAATAGAAATCTTGTGTAAATCAAGTGACAGTAAAGATCTTTATAATTTTACAAAAGATTGCCATTTTAAATACGGTTCTTTTGAACTTTTTTTTCATCAAAAGTATTAAAAACAAGTAAATTACATTTGGAAAATGTACTGTAATAAAATAAACATTAAAAAAAATTTAAATGCAGCTTTGGTAAGGTTTTCATTAAAAAAAAATAATAACTTACTGAGCCCAAACCTTTTATCTAATCATAGCCAAAAGAATTTGTGATATGCATTTCGTGTATAAAAAAAAAATATATATATATCTCTCTCTCTCTATATCCATCTTCCTCCCTCGGTTTCCAACAGAACCCCAAGTTTGACTTCAGCGGAGCAGAGATCTCTGGGAACTTTCACGCCGGTGGAAGACAAGAGGACTACTTTCATTCCTGTACTCGATGTAGTCTTACTAAATTGCAGTTTTTTTCCTGGAGAATATATGGTTTCTTTCTCCGGAGTCTTTGAGTTTCAGATACAGGAAGTGTATCACAGCGAGTCGAAGCCATAATGTATCACAAGCAGCCTTCGAGTCGGGTGGGTTTAATTTACAAATGCAAAGTCTTTTGTAATCAGTGGTTTCAGAGGACCGTTTGCTCAGCTTATCCTTTGAATTTCAATAAATCGTGTAATTCAAGCACTTATTAAATGCCTCAAACATTATAAACGAGCACAAGTGTTTTGCATTCCAATAAGGTTTTATTGAAAGGTTCAACTACATCATTTTGCAGAACGCTGCTCTCAATTTCCAGTCTCAATTCAATCCGCTTTATTTGTAGCACTCATTTCTGTGTTATATACCAGGTATAGAACAAATGCTCACGGTTACACAAGACTGTAGTAATAACTCAAATGTAAAATGAGCTTCAGCCTGGTCAGTTAGTCAGTCATTAGCGATTTTTCTTATTATTAGAGGCATATTTAAAACCTGCATTTCCATAGCCATCCAGATTTCAGCATAATAAACAAAAGAAAACCAAAAAAAAATTTTTAAATCTTGTTTCGTCACCTTGGGTAGGAGTGTGCATTACGACAGCTGACAGCCTAGGGTGGGAGTGAAGGGTTTTGGGCCTGATCTCTTGGTTCTGTTGTTGTCTTGAATCTCAAAACCCTTCTCCCTCCTCTTCCACATGGTGGACTGAGGACCTAGGCGGCTCTATACTTCATTGCTTCAAACAACCGGCGCGTCTCGCACCGATTCAGATGAACATACTGTTCACGTGCAAGCCTTGCTTGCTCAAACTCACCCTTGACTAGCAATCAAGACGTGAAATAAATACAATCATGGCAGGTGTCAAAGAGAACAAAGACTGAGGAAAGGAGAAGTAGAGAAATTAGTGTTGGGTGCCCATAACACAGATTAGAAGTATTAAAGCATTCACACGACTGCATTTAGCAGGTTTTTGTTACGGGCGCTCGACACCAAGTGTCTTAACAAGCGTATTCAGGGATCGTGGGTAGATGGGCGATCTTGTAGTAGCTGTGCTTCAGTTGTCTGGCGGTTCGACCTGAAATCATCCATCGCAGTCTCTGGCCGTTTGGCTTCAGGCACTTGGTGCTGGCGTATTCAGCCAGGCATTTAGCCACCAGCTCCCTCACGCAAACCAGGTCTCCAGCTTTAACCTGAAACACAGAATACCATAAATCAACACTGAAAACATTCACACTGCAAAAAAAAAAAATCATGTTCTTTCGTCTTGTTTTCTAGTATAACAAATTCTTGAATCAGGATGCGTTTACTTGACAAGATAGTGTCTTGCTTTCTGAAAATATTATCCAAATTGTGTTTAAAACAAGCAAAAATATCTGCCAATGGGGTAAGAAAAATGATCTTAATTCGAAGGCTAAACAAGATTATTGTTCTTACCCCATTGACAGATTTTTGCTTGTTTTAGGCAAGAAACTAACACAATTTGGGTATTTTTTTCAGAAAGCAAGACACTCTTACTTGTCAAGTAAATGCATCCTGATTCAAGAACGTCTAGAAAACAAGAGAAAAATACAAAAGGAAGAAAATCTTTTTTTTTTTGCATTGTAACCCAAAAAGTAGTTTTAATGTCAGCATTAAATGAACATTTTAAATTTTTTTGTAAAATTTTGGATGTTCCAGTAAAACAAAAGATTGCTCTCTGCTGATTTATTAGGGCCCTATGAAATCGGTTTTATTTTTTTCCCCAAATTCCATTTTTAAATTTTATTATTATTATTTTTTCAGTTTTAATTTGAAATGGAAGGGAAAAAACCAAACCAAAACGGAATCTTTAATTTTTCTGGAATCGTGACACTTATACAAATTTAACAACGGTTTATTATTACACACAAAACACATTTTTAAGATTCTGTGAACGTTGAATGTTTTTTTTTCTGGTAATGAAGAGAAAGCATAAAGCTAATTTAATTTATAATCAAATGAAATTTTGGCAAAAAAAAAAAAAAGAAAGAAAGAAAAACAAGTGCTGCGCAACAGAGGTTTATGGTTAAAATGCGTGCCGTCAAACGATTAATCGCATCCAAAATCGCAACGTTTGTGTTTGTAATATAAGCGTGTATACTGTGTATATAAATAAACAGTATATTTTGAAAATATTTACATGTATATTATATTTATATAATTTATTACATATAAATATATTTAATATACAAATATAACATTTCTTATATACACACACACGCGTGTGTATTTAAATAAAGCCTACAAAAATAAATACACAGCACACATACATTTAAACAAACTTATTTTGGATGCGATTAATCGCTTGACAGCACTAGTTAAAACTAAAACATTGAAGAAACATTGCCATTATTCCTTAAAAATAATGCTTAAGTAGAGTCAATATCGCAATCTGATTTAAGTGTACTGACCTACTTTTGATCAATTCTTTCCAAATTTGACCAATTCTATGGCATTTCATGTTATACAGTAAATTACATTTTTATGACTGGATTCAGTGATTCCATCTGCATTTATCGTGTCACAAATCAGCATTCATTTATGTAGGCCTTCTCGAATCATTTAGTCCCCTTAACTTTACTTCGGCTTCATTGCAACTTTACCAATTACATATTATTTGATGCACAGTTTCATAGATTGAGAAGTTCTGCAAGCCCTGCTCTGAGTAACTAGTTCAGTGCGCTCTACGCCTCCACCCCGTTTCTCAAACTAGTAAATCTCTTTAGCAGCAGCTGTGTGGAAATCTTGCAGGTAACTTACAGTCAAACTCTGCTGTAGCGCACCGAGAGCTTCTCTGAGAGCAGGAACCGGCTCACACTCGTGCTGATCTTCGATCTCCAGAGCCAGAAGAGCCAAAGCCAGCAGCGACGGCTGGAGAGACAGAATTACAGTCAGACTACAAACACACTTTGATAGTTTCCAAATGCTCCAAACAGCTTACCTTGATTTTAGTGAAAGTAAAGGAGCAATGGCAAGCCTTCAACTGAGCCTCCAGCCTCTCGATGTTCAGAGTTCGCTTACTGAAGAGAAACACAGTTTAAAGCAGGTTATGGTTATTGTCCAGAAATGTTTTTTTTTATTTTTTTTACTGCCTTTATTTAACAAGGATGCATTAAATTGATCAAAAATGATAGTAAATACTAGTGCTGGGAGGTATACCGGTTCATACCGAATCCCGGTGTTTATTTTTGTTATGATATGAATTTTTTAAATACCGCAATACCATGTCTTGTTGCTTAAACAACGTTGGGAGCGCGACACTGTTTGAAACCAGTCCCTTTTTCACTGTGGTGAGGGAACAGCTGTATGCGTTACTAAGCGTGAAAGCTCAGAAACTGAAGCTGTAGAACTAATAGAACGTGATGACACAGAAGAACTCATCCACAATATCCACACTGACCTCCACAAATATCCAGCGCCCGCTGCCATCAGCTCCCGCGTCTCTCACACACGAGCGCGACTTTAGCACTAGATTTAGCAACTTTCAGACCCTTTTAGCTGATTTTTCCATAGAATATTCATACTGACAAACCTAGCAACTTTATCTGGATAAACCTTAGCTATGGTTGAGTTGGAGGATTTCTCCAGTGCTGTCCCGCGAGCGCGAGGTCTGACTTTCCCGGAGAAGTGTCGCCTCTCTCGGCGTCTGTTCTGTGCAGTGAGCGACAGAGAAGCACCGCAGCCGACTCCTCAATAAATGAGTACAAAACAGCGTTTCCTAGCACCTGCCGCTTACTGATTGTTTGGAGTTATAAATATGAGCGTAGTTCGTCTGTTAATATCACATGCACTTTTTTTTGTTTGTTGTTTTTTTTAGTTTGTTACTCAGACGCAGGCAGTGCGCTGCATGAGACAAAAAAGTAATCTAGCCAAAACCACCGCATAGCCGCTCTTTAGTGTAGATGCATGCTGATTTTATCAGACGATGCAGTGATAAATGAGTGACTCCTGGTGAACATGTATTAAAAGGGGTCGTGTTTAGTCACTATTTAGTGTGGTATTGTTTGACAATATTCACTCATCATGACAGTAAAATAGAGCATTCTAAGTCAATACACTGCAGTATTTCCTCTCAAAAACATAACACCGTGTCGACGCTAAACAGACGTGCATTTCTCTTAATCAGCAGTGCTTCATTTGCATACATTCATTTAAAACATTTGTTTACACAGGAGATGAAAGTAATTTTTTCTACTTTTCACATTAAAATATTAACTTACAAGTTTATTTGTTCACTTTTTGACACCATGCCAGCGTCAAGGCTATTTTAAAGGCAATCTCTAAATTATTAATTAGATACAAGTTATTCTACTTTTCACATGACTATTTAAAATGCATTTTGTTTGCAAGAGATGCTGGTTATTTTATACTTTTGACACGGCAATATTCATTTATTTTGTTGGCAAAAAATTACAATTATTATTTTTTTAGGAAACTTGCTTTTGATAATAAAACTGAAATGTGACTTTCCACAAGACGTCTTCATTTCATGCAAGCTTAGATTTCAGTTGTTCGAAATATTCAACAAATAACCATTAATAGTTTGCTTCAATTATTTTAAAATCATTAAGATAAGAAACGCACTTTCATTAGAAAAAAAAAATTCCACATTTAATAGTGGAGCATTTTTACACTACAACCCTTTAAATGAACCACGAGGGCAAAAAAAAATTTAATACATTTGAAAAAATTTGTTCAATCATAATCGAGTTAAAGCGTTCAACTTATTTTTTTTAATTTTGCACAACCAAACAAAACAACTACGGAGCGCATGCATTACGTGATGAAGTCTAGACTAGTGCGTTCTTTCGCTGCATGATTCAGTCTATTAAAATACATTCAGAATGATCACAAATTCAAGACATGGGGGCAGAAAATGTGTATTTATACCACTTCAGCTACTTAATCAGTTTCACACGAAGACTGCCGTTTTTCTCCAAAAATTAGCATGACTACGAATGCGATAGATTTTTTACAACAGTTCAATAAACAAGAAGTTAATTAAGAGACTTGCGTTTTAGACACTATATTGTGCTATTTTGACAAAATAATTCCAAGCACAGCCACAGCGCTGTTTTGTGTCTCTGAGCAACATGGAGTTTCGTTCCTGAATGAATCAACAACCGTTTAAATGATTCGGTTCAGTCGCAATGACTCACTTATTAACACTCACTTGCTGCCACCTACTGGCGGTTTTAGTTTGATATTTAAAGTTCCTTTTTATGATTTAAATAATTTCAAATATCAGTATTCAACGTTTTATGTTTGTTTAATATATCAAAACATTATATATGCATGCGTAACTGCAGGTTAAATGCATTCATGTCCTGCACTAAACTTGTTAAGAGGCCTTTTTTGCGTTTGTTAATTGCAGAATAAATAAAAAGAAAACAAATGCATAGAATACAAAAAGATTAGAAAAGCTAGTTTTGTTTTTTTTAAGAAAACAAGCAGTAAATGAATAGCGTGCAAGTCTAAAAGGGACACTTTTATTTTTTTATTTAATATATACACATTTAATTATTTTCTTGGATGACTTTTATTCTGGAAGTTAACTAATCCCTAAGCATCCCCAAAAAATATCTAATTTCGCACTTTTAAAATAAAAGCTCGTAACGGTTTACTCCGAACGAAACGGCTCATGTTTACACTTCTCTCGTTATTTCTGCGTAACGTGACGTAATCGCGTACGGCGTGCGTCAGCGTGCGTCAGACGCTGGGCATGTCTGGGCATGTCCACTAACTAGCGCGCTAGCTATATTTAAACCCGGTTAAAGCCAACAACTAGTTGGTTTTGTGTCAGTAATCGCTAAATAACAACTTTAAATCCACGTTTACGCTTTAAATTCCATTCCCACGCCATTTATTTTACGTTTAGCGTAATAACGTAAGAGTCTTGTGTTGTTTTACGGCGGTGGAGAACATTTGAAAGCTCAAAAGAAACATCTAGAAGCTAAAAATAACACACACCGCAACGTAACAAGCAAATAGCGCCTATAAATAACGATAACGATTGATTAAACCGCTCACCTTTTCGTAGATTTGACGATCTGGGTTAAAAACAAAAAATATGACGCTGTGAGTTTATGAAATAAAAGTTATTAAAAAAAGAAAGTATGTAAGTTTAAAGCAACGTAACTTCTGCGCCCTGCACACCCCAAACCCTCGGCGTCAGGCGTGACGCGCAGGCGGCTTCCGCGCTTTATACTCGGAGGATGTCCAGCACCAAACATAGAAGCTCCTTATTGGGCAGCGCTCACACGAGCTCCGTCTTTCTGAATGCCTATTGGTTGAGCGTTGGCTGTGGGCTTTGGCCACGCCCCACTCGCAAGATGTAGGCGGGGCTTAAACGCTCTGCAGTGCAGTGGAATCCAGCATGTTAGATATTCAGTGCGCTCCCTTGATAGCTGATACAGGCCTGCAAAGCAAATAAATAAATAGAAATAAATACATACAAAATACATTTTAAAAATTATTACAAGTATTAAATCACCACCATAACTGCGTCGCAACATTTAAATGTTACATATTGCATTGTATTATATTATATTATTATATTATTAAACATATAACCAACTAATACAACAACCTGTGGTAAAAGCCAATGTGTTGAAAACTTGAAAACAATAGTATTTAGTTAACCTCACGCATACAGACATAAAAGTGAAGCGATAAACATTCAGGTAATGGATAAAGACCGAGAATTATGTTGCTTTGTCTTGTGGCACTCAATCTGAATCAAGTCATCTAGGTTTAAATTGCTTACTGTGGCAAAGCAAAGAGAGAATTAATTGCTGACGAAGCATTAGAAGGTTCCAGGGGTTTTAGGACAACAGCAGGCCAAAGCAACAAAACGTCTGAATATAATACATCTGCGTTGTGGCAGTGACTCTCGCGGTCAAGCAAACAATCAGATAAATACATAGAAGATAAAAGAAATGCAAAGTTGTTTGTGTACGAGGACATTTCTAAACACATGCTCCAAATTCACAGACGACAAATTCTGTTTGCGTTTCTTATAAGCATGGATAGTCCTGCTGGCGCTTGCCCTTTATTGGTGCACAATAATGGGAAAGTCGTGGCCTAATGGTTAGAGAGTCGGACTCTGTACCCAAAGGTTGTGGGTTCGAGTCTTGTACCGGCAGGGATTGTAGGTGGGGGGAGTGAATGTACAGCGCTCTCTCCCACCTTCAATACCACGACTGAGGTGCCCTTGAGCAAGGCACCGAACCACCAACTATTCCCCGGGCGCCGCAGCATAAATGGCTGCCCACTGCTCCGGGTGTGTGTTCACGGTTTGTGTGTGTTCACTGCTGTGTGTGTGCACTTTGGATGGGTAAATGCAGAGCACTAATTCCGAGTATGGGTCACCATACTTGGCCACATGTCACGTCACTCACTCACTCAGGAGCGATCCCCCGGAGACCCCTTTTTCACAAGCTTTCCCCCTTTTAACCCAGTGCCTAGTTACAACACTGCGCTTCGGCAGGGACGAGGGGGTTATTTTCATTGTGTGAGATGTGGACCCAGTTAATGAGCTGTGCAGGAAAACAGCATGGAGGCCATTTAGCTCGAATGTAGCTGTCAACAGTTTAGATTTTTAATGTGTTTTAAAGAAGTCTCTTCTGCTCACCAGGCCTGCATTTATTTGATCCAAAGTACAGCAAAAGCAGTAAAATTGTGAAATATTTTTCCTATTTAAAATAGCTGCTTTCTGTGTGAATCTCTGTTAAACTGTAATGTATTTCTGTGATGTGCAGCTGAATTTTCAGCATCATTCCTCCAGTCTTCAGTGTCGCATGATCTTCAGAAATCAGTATAATATGCTGATTTGCTGCTCGAGACGAATTATTATTATTATTATCGATATTTAAAACAGTTGAGTACATTTTTTCAGGATTCTTTGATGAATAGAAAGATCCAAAGATCAGCATTTATCTGAAATAAAAATATTTTGTAACATTATACACTATGCCATTCAAAAGCTTGGAGTCAGTATATTAAAAAAAAAAATTTTTTTGAAAGAAATTCTAGAAA